CACACGTCCCAGATCGAAGAATCTGGCTCGTAGAGTTCTGATGGGTGCGGGCTCATCCCTCTCACAAGAATACAGGAATGTCGAGAGGGGAGCATGAAAACCAAGGGTTTCTGAAATAATTAGCGATCGGGAAGCGGAACCCACCTCGGAAAATCCGGAGGAAGACAGAATGGATCAAATGGCGGGGGTTTTGGTTGCAGGAGAAGAAACTCACCAGCTGATGAATCAATTAGGGTGGAGAAGAAGAGGAGAAGAAGGCGACCTTGCAGAAGAGAGAATGCAGGAAACGAAGTTGACCGAAGGAGGAGGGGGAGGCGAAAACTGAACCAGCTTCCGAAAAATGTCGTTGAAGAAGCTTGTGGCGGGTATTCTCGTTTTTTTCCTTTTTCATTTCTGTTATGGGTTCGTGTAATTTAGGAGAGTCTCTGCTTTTCTTTTTTAAGAATGTGTTGACAGGACGTGGAGGCAGGTTTTGAGAGCAAGTTTGGTGGATATATATATATATATATATGAAATCATATAATATGCTTAGTATATATTTTTGATATCATGAAGTGTTGGTGCATCATAAGTATCATAAACAACCACCAAAATTATCAAGAACTAATAAATATTTTGAGGTGTTTTTAAAAGGGGCAACAAAATAGAATGAAATTCTTATTGTCTATTATAAAAAATTTGTTGTTATCAAGTCTTAGTATTTTACGAAGATTTGGTACGTAAATGGAGGTATAGAGAAATTGACAGAAAATATAACATGAGTTTTTACGTAGAAAGCCTGAGAAGGTAAAAGTCATGGAGCTTAGCCCCATTGAAATAGTTGTATTGTGTCAATGTAGGTTAGAAAACTTCACCAACCCTTGGCTAGTCGGAGGCAGATAAAATGAGTGGGGGTTATCGACGTGACTTTTGTCAGGAGAGTTGTGAAATTGGTTCGGGAAGATATGACGACTCAATTGTTATGAAGGAAGATTGATGATAGAGGTTGAGTGTCAAAAAGTCTGATATCAACATCGTTGGTAGCGTCAGTGGTCCGACGATGGCAACTTGAAAGTGATGGTCATATAGCAGAGGCTTAGTGGTGGAAATGACAATGGTTTGATGGCAACGATGATGGTTCCGTGGCAAAGATGATGGTTCCGCAACAACGATGGTAGTTCCGCAATAACGACAATAAAGGTCGAGCAGTGGTGGTCTAGTGGTAACGACGACCAAAAGATGGTGCTCCGACCACTTGACGGTGGCAGTCGAGCAGCAATCGTCCAAAGATGGAAACAACCAGAACACTGTAGTCTGACACTGAAGGTGGCCAAATGACGGTGGATGAGGTTTGATGGCGGCGGTGGCAGAGCAGCAGTGGTACGGCTGTGGCGACACCCACACAATGGTGTTTGCGCAACAGTGGTCCGACGATGGTCGGGCAACAATGGTCTGACGTTGGAAGGGGCTCGACGGTGGTGACTAGGCAGTGGTGGGCTAGCGATGGTGGGGGGTCCGGGGCGGGGGCTCGATGGCAGTGACTGGGCAACGACAGTCCGACAATGGCAACCAGTAGATGACAATGGTTGTGCAATGGTGGTTTGGCGACGGCGGTGGTTAGGTATCGATGGTTTGGCGGTGGCGACAACTAGACAATTGTGATCGGGGCAACGTGGTGGCTGAGCAACGAGATGGTCGAGCAACGCTGGTCCGGTAAGGGCAGCGGCTCTATAGCGGTGGTCAGACAACTGCAGTTTGATGGTGACATCGACTATATGACAATGGCACACAATAGTGGTGGCAGCCAAACAATGATTATCATGCCAAGGTGGTTTAGTGATGATGGAGCTTAGGAACCCTCAAGAACGTAGAGCTCCTTTAAATTTATTCTTTGGATCAATGTAATCTAGCCATCATCACCAGAACACCATCACCCGACACATTTCCAGACCCCCACCAGAATCGTCAAATTACATTCGTCTAACAAAAGGCACTACCGCCACCACTGACTTCATTACGGGATCACATTCCAACAACTACTGTCGCCACCGAACTATTTTCACATGGTTGGCTTTGCTAGAATACAATCATTATTACTATACAATTATTGTTCTGATGACATCGTAGTTGTCATTGTCATCACAAGACCACTACCATATTTAACTGGTCATTATCACCTAACCCTCATTATTTTCAAGGTACCTTCACTTATAAGCCAACGAAACTATTGTGTGCCAAAGAATTTTTAGTAATAGAGTAATATATTAATGTCTTAGTATTACACGATAATCTAACACACACATAAATAAAAGTAGATTTGATAGATGGGACAATATATTTTTTTACGTAAAAAATTTGAAATAAGAAAAATCACAGAGTCTAGCTCAATTAAAATGATTTCATTATTCATATGTATGTTACAAAATAGGTCTATCCTTGAACAACAAAAAAGATTATTACTATAGTAGGAGAAACTGACTTGACTTTCATTAGAGGAGTAGTAGAAAATGTTGGAAAGTGGCAATAACTTAGCTACGACAATGGAAAATAAATTGAAGGGGTTGTATGACGGACGGGTGACACAACCATTATCACTGAGGATAGTGGACGCATGACTACAACAATGATTGAGTAGCAGTGATTAAGAGATGGCAGTCTGACATGGTGGTGTCAACTTGATGATAGTGGCCTAGCATGAAGGCCATGGTCTAATGATGGTGGCCCAATGGTGACAGATATGACTCTATGACAATGGAGGCGATGACTTGACATCAATTTGGTGTCTGTGGTTCAATGGAGATGACAACCCAAAAAGGTAGTTTGTAACAATAGTAGAGGCCTATCATCGGTAGTCCGATTATAATGACCTAATTGTGGCAGTAGTAGCCCAGTAGTGGTGGTCAGGTGATGATGACAAAAATGACTTGATGATGATGGAGCTGGTGTCTCAACTTCATTTAGGTGTCTGTGGTACGTTGGCTTGACGACAACAGTCACGCATTAGTGGTCCTATGACAATGACGACAAAATAATGATGGCTCAGCCATAGCGATGACAAGATTGAAGTGGATGGGAGGTGCCGACGATTGTCTGACGGTGGTGAAGCTCATGAAACCTCAAGAGCTTGTAGCTCCAGCAATGTTCTCATTTAGGTTCAAGTCGAAGTCTTCTTCATGAAGAGCGTGGGGGTCTATTTATAGATTTTGAGAGTATCATCTTCAGTAAATGCTGCTAGATTCCAGACCACTCCATCGGAAGACCCGACATGTTTCTTTTGATTAGATTATATTTTATGGGCATTTGAATTGATTAATGGTGTTAGATCTAAGTGATATTGGTCACTTTAGATTTTTCTCGTCAAAATGCTTGATTTGACTATAAAAAATATTATATTTCGAGATCACTTGGTCCTCTAAAAAATATCTCAAAAGTTCTTATTTTGCTTTAAGTGATTGATCTAGGCTCACTTTGACTGAAATATAATCATGTTTGATGTCAGTAGGCTCATCTTATTAAGCAGTTCATTTGAATTGAAACATAAGTGATTAAATATTTCGTGCTCTCAGCCCAATGTGTATCAAAATTCATGTTGATCAATATTTTTTTAGGGACATAACAGTTGCTCCTCTATGTTCAATCATCAATGTCAAAGACATTGAAAATATATCTCATGTTAACATAAAGTTACAATCAAGGAAAACTCTTTGAAATGCACTACTCTTTTGGCATTGGCGCGGACCCCCTTTCAAAGTCAAGTGTTAGGCAAGTTTTCTTAACATTTATTTGAAAGCATCAAATTTGAGCTTGTAATGTTGGAAAATGGCCTCACAGATCGAAAGATTCTAAAAATGGGTTGGACAGGCAGCCGCTGCTAGAGGTAGTGATGGAGTGCACCTTTAAAGAAGCTTATGTCGAGTTGCCTTCAGCCCTTTCTTGTCCTTAGAATCATTTACAGACTTAGCCATCAAGTTGTCTTGTGATGAAATATTTCTTAAGATTGATTAATTGTCTTTTGATTGTTTAACATGAATTTAGCGTACAACATAGATGATGCCTCTAAAAATTCTTAACCAGCTTAACTTCTTTGTTTCTTCTTTTTTTGTTCTTTTCTTAGACTGAACTTGCATCATCTTATACAGTAAATATAAGAGCACATATGAGAACTTGAATCAATCTAATAATCGAATCAAATCATTTTAGGGCATTTATGACTATTCTATTGGACTTTACTTGCATCATAACATAATTGAACACTTTTGAATACTAAAATTAATTTAAAATCAAATACACAACCTATAATTGACAAATCTTATGCTTAATGGGTCCATCCCTATCCTAGTTGGGCCAATCATAGGTTACTTTCCACTTGCCAAAATTTTATAGGGTCTAATACCAAGTCAATCAACCTATTGGAGTTAGATTTATTTAGCTGATTCTTGTCATTTTAGCTGACTTGATCAAAGATGGTTCAACATGAATCAAATCTCAAATAAATCTATTTGATCATTATATTGAGATAAATCTAATCAATTTTACCTATTTTAGCCTCTTATTATACCCAATTAGACAACCAAACATCCTATGCTAACCAAATTAGGGTTAAGCCCAATTATTTTGTTGTGAAGAATGTGAAAGCTAACTTGACCTAATTAGTCCATCTTATCCCAATTAAGTACTTGAGTTCTTTAGCGATGGCTCTACAAATGAAGATTAAGCTTAATTGAATTATTAGAGTAAACCCAATTGAGTTACTTAACCAAACTGACCCTTCGCCAACCCAGGTTAGCTTCTAGAGCTCTCAGTTGATGCATTAGCTTCGGTTTAGTCAACTATTTAAGCATACCTGATTCTTGTTCTTTTCAATTCAAGCTTTAGCTTAAACTATTTAATACATCGCGTTAGGAAAAAAAATAAT